CTATCTCCTGAGCCCACAGGAGCACAGGTGGTTTAAATTGACCTAGAGATCCCTGGCTGATTAGCAGACCAGGGTGGAGATGGAGGCAGAATTCCCTTTCTTACCTGGTCTGTCAATCAAGACGTGAGCCCTGCCCTAGCCAAGGGGATGGGCACTTGACCAAGCTGGCCAATGAGCTCCAGGGAGTCTGACACGCTGGGCTTCTCTTAGGATGAGTAGCACTGTCTCCTGTCCTTTCCTGGCTTGACAGAATTGTGGGGGATTTTGATTGTTTTTTTAGACAGTCTTACTCTGTTGTCCTGGGTAAAGTGCCGTGGAGGCATAGCTCACAGCAACCTCCCACTCTTGGGCTCAAGAGATCCTCTTGCCTCAGCCTCCTGAGTAGCTGGGGCTACAGGTAGGTGCCCACCACAATGCTCAGCTAGTTTTTCTATTTTTAGTACAGACAGGGTCTTGCTCTTGCTCAGGCTGGTTTCAAACTCCGGAGCTCAAGGGATCCACCCTCCTGAGCCTTCCAGAGTGCTGGATTACAGGTGTGAGCCACCCCAACAGATTTGACAGAATTGTTGTCCTTCCCACCTACAATCCCCCAGTCTCCTCTCACTCGGTGCCTTTTGGCCATCCATGGTTTCCATTGTTTGCAGAGACCCCTACTTGAGGCTCCCTTCCTCCCACCCAGATCTTCCTTAAGGGAGGGTGCCCTCCCCTTACCCCATGGATTGTCCATGGATTGACCATGATCCTAATGGGTGTAAATGGGAGCAAAAAAAGTACACCACTGGAAGTCTCCAGTGATGGATCACAGGGCTCTGTCCTTTCCCCTGTCCTGTTGATCATCATTTCTCCAATTTGGGTTTAGAACACAGAAGGCCTGCTTATAAAATGTGCAGCTGTCACAGTGACAGAATTAATGCTTTGTGTAATAGAAGTGGAACTCTTATGATGCTTTCAAGACTAGACGGCTGGATGAGAGCCAAGAAGATGACATTTAACCCGCATAATATAAGGTCTTGCATGTGTTTCCGAAGAATCCATTGTGTGAGTACCAGCTAGGGGAGGGGAAGTTGGCTGCACAGTAGTTCATGGGAAAAAGATCTCATGCATTAGCAGTGAATAAGGTAGCTGTTGGTAACACAAATGCCTCTAGTAATGTAGGCTGCATTATTGGAGATGAAGTATCTAGAAAACTAGAGGTGATAGTACCTTTCAAGCTGGCAGCTATCAGTCCAGACAGGGAGCATGTTTCCAGTTCTGGGCCCCAGGATGTGACCCAAGCTGTGGTGAAACCACAGCAACTTGATGTCATTGATTATAGCTCAGAGAACCTTTGGGGAGCCAGGATCCCCCGTGTGCAAATGCTGCAGAGGAGGCCTAGAGAAAAGGCCTCAAAGTTATAGTATTAGGAGCTGACGTTTGGAAATCACAGAAATGATTTAGGCTTGGCGCCTGTGGCTCAAGTAGGTAAGGCACCAGCCACATACACCTGAGCTGGTGGGTTCAAATCCAGCCCTGGCCTGCCAAACAATGACAACTGCAACCAAGAAATAGCCAGGCGTTGGGGTGGGTGCCTATAGTCCCAGCTACTTGGGAGGCAGAGGCAGGCGAATCGCTGGAGCCCAGGACTTGGAGGTTGCTGTGAGCTGTGATGCAACCGCACTCTACCCAGGGGGACAGCTTGAGGCTCTGTCTCAAAAAAAAAAAAAAAAAAAAAGAAAGATAGAAAGAAAAAGAAAAGGTTTAGCCAAGGCCCTTTGGGTGGGAAGTAACTGAAACCTACCAGAGCTCACTCAGCAAAAAGAGGAATTTGCTGTAATGGGAATAGATACTAGGACCTGGAGGGCAGGAGGGGCAGCCTCAGGGCTTGGAGCAGGGAACTGGGCAGTGGCAGGAAGCAGGGCAGTCTAACTCTCTGGCTCTGCTTCCTTTCTGCTTCCTCTCTTGCCACAAAGTAACTTTCTGTGCTTCTCAGGGCACCTGTCAGAAAGGGCTGACATAGCCCCCTCCTCCCCCAGTGCAGCTCCACTGCTCAGGACTGAGGGGAGAACAGGGGGTAGGTAGGGACAAGGAAAGGGGCATGGGCAAGGAAGCCAGGATGAGTCAGGAGAGGTGGGCAGGGGCCAGATAGGCAGGGACAATTTTCTGAGATTAATTGAACACGACCTGGGTGCCCCCTGCCCAGGATAGAGCTGGAATGTCACCAGGAGTAGGTGCTCTTGAATGTTGCTTTTTTGCTGAGCATATGTTTTCATGCTAATATGCATAGCTGAGGCAAGGGCAGGCTGGTCCAGGATTGTGGATCACCTTCAAAGGATGGAACAACAGTGAGAAAGACCAGCACAGTGTCTAGCCTGAATATCTTGACAGATCCCCTGTCCCTGGACCACCTGGGCTGAAGGAGGAGGGAATGTGACAGGCTCCCTGAGAAGGAAGACACAGTCAACTGCTGGAAAATGCCCTCGGAGGACCTTCTTGGGAGAGACAAGAATCTGTTCCCTAATCCCATGGTCAGGCCTGAGCCAGTGAAATACTTTTGCCATCATAACTGTGACCTATTCATGTGTCCCCACCTTGCAGCCCCTGCTCAAGCCCAACACTGGCATACCCTCAGGCCCTGCTTGGCATGAAGCCGGACAGCCTCTGGTCACCAGGGTCCTTGGGCTGTGGGCCCATAGGTGAGCCCAGCAAAGGGCATTTGGAACTTTGTATCTGTGTTTTAAGCTAAAGGGAGAAAGGTGGCCATCACAGCCTCTCCCCACTTCTCTGAGCAGTTACTGAAAATCAGCTGCCCTTGACGAGCTTCATCTCATCAACTCCTCAGAAGGCAAACCTGGCTCAGTGCCCATAGCTCAGTGGTTAAGGGTGCTGGCCACTTGCACCGGGGCTGGCGGGTTTGAACCTGCCCTGGGCCTGCTAAACAATGACACTGCACCAAAAATAGCCAGGTGTTGTGGCAGGCACCTGTAGTCCCAGCTACTTGGGAGGCTGTGGCAAGAGAATAGCTTAAGCCCAAGAGTTCAAGGTTGCTGTGAGCTGTGATGCCACAGCACTCTCCTGAGGGCGACATACTGAGACTCTATCTCCAAATAATAATAATAATAATAAGGTAACCTTATGAGCACTCCTGTTTTGCAGATGAAACAGAGGTTGCAGAGCTAGTAGTTGGCAGAGCCTGGCTTTAACCCTGGAATGTGGCTCTAATGCCCCATTCCTGGGGCAGAAGTTCAGACTTAGTCTGGGAGTATGGGGAGGGCAAGGAAAGGTTGTGACATTGCAGCTAGATCTGAAGGTCATGTCAGTCAAGAGGATGGGGAAGACCACTCTGGTGGAAACAGCATCGGCTGTTGCAATGGAGGTAGAAGGATGGAGAGCAGAGCAGAGGGGAGCTTGATGGGGTTGGCAGGGCCAGGATGAAGCAGGAGGGGGCACGGCGCTCTGGCCTGAGGGGCCCTGGCATTTGTGGCTAGCGGTTCTAACTATAGACTCCTGAACTCCCCCCAAGTGGTAATGGAGCCTAGAGGACAAGGCTCCAGGAGTGAATGGCTGGGCTATGGAAGGTGGTTCTGGGCCCTCTGGGTGGAGAAGAAGCCACCAGGTGTCTGGAGAATGGGCCAGATTAGGTTGTGGACCATGGGTGGGGCCTGAGCAAGAGGGGCGGCATGTCTCAGAGTGGGGTTTGGGTGTGGGGCCAGACCTATAGGTTGAGCTCAGACGGGTCCCTGAGGAGCCAACTCAGTGATCTGGACCCTCTGGGAGCTGGGATGGGCTGGGACTGCCTCAAAGTCACCATTGTCGTCCCCTCTCCCGCCTGACTGTCTTGGGCTTAAAATAGAGCAGAAGCACAGTGGATCTCGTGAGAAGAGTTTCTGGCAAAGGGGGTTGGGGGGAGGGGTGTGAGTCACCGCTGGGAACCTTTGAGTTTGAAGCTCCCAAAGCCCAGCAGCCCCGCCCCTGCCCCAGGGAGACTGGAATCCACTGGGAGGGGTGCAGCTTCTGTTTCACTGGGGTCCTGCTGTTGGGGAGGGGAGATCATCAGTTCCTGGCTCCAGGTCTGCTAGGGAAGCCCTGGGTGCTGGGTCAAGTCCTGTCCCCCTGGAGCCTTGGTTTCTCATATGTACCAGGATCAGGGGCCTCAACATCTGCTATGAGGCCCTTGCAATTCCTGTGTCAGACCTAGAGGGATGAAATCCCAGTCCCACTCTTACTGGCTGAGGGACCTCGGGCAAGTCCCCCAAGCTCTCAAAGCCTCAGTTTCCTCATCTGTAAAATGCTCTTTCCATCTTTCCATGTTCCTAGTTGAGCTTTATTGGATAATAAAGATCCGGAAAGCTCCTGGGGCCACCCTCCACAGTCCCCCCCTCCCATCTTCTGCATATTTTGCGCTGCTGGGGATGTTAAAACAACTAAAAGTCCACTTTTTAATGCTTTAACACTTCACTTTGCACACAGCACCTCCAGCTCCCACAGTCTGGAGGGCAGCCTGTCGCCCAGCGCTCTCCTGGGACATCCTCAGCCTCAGCCTGGCCACTCCTGAGTAACTCTCTGGGCAACTACCCGTGCAGGCCCTGTGCTTGGCTCAGCCCTGGAGTCCTGTGGGGTAGGGTTGATTTTCCCCGTTGTACAGGTGGGGGACACAGGCTGGCTGTTACTCTGTTTCACCGGACCCTTTGCAGACTGCCGGGCGCAGCGTGTGGGCCTGGCGCGCCCCCTAGCGGCCTCCCCGCGCACCGTCTTGCCAAGCCGCCGGAGCTGCCCAAAAACCACGGGCAGCGGCTGGCGTGGGAAGTCCCTTTAGCCGTCTGCAGTCTTGCTGCGGCTTTACCTCCTGCAGCAGAAAGCTGTCTTGCACTAGCTGTCCCTCCCAGGGACCCCACCGCAGCCGCGCGCCCCGCCCCAGTTACCATGGAGACCACTCGTACACAGTTTCCCTTTCCCCACGGCTCTGTCCTAAGGGCCACCCCAACACACACCCCACCACACACCCCAGAGGACCAGCAGCTGGGGCAAGTTGGGCGGCCGGGCGCCCATGAACAGCAAGGCCCCAGGGACCCTGGCCGTGGGGAGGGTGAAATTCTTCGGCTGGCATCGTGGGGAGGTGAGGCCCAGAAGGCACTACTCCCACTCTAGGCTTTGGGTCTAGAGTGGCTTCTGGTTCTGTGTAGTGGGGGTTTCAGAGTGTTCCCTGGGCTTCAGCTCAAGACCTTGAGTCTAGAATGGACTTTGTTAACCAAAGGCCGCTCAAAGTAGACTCTAGTAGGTTCTAGGTCCAGAATGAGCTCTGGGTTCTAAGCTCTGGTTCTAAAAAGGGCTCCGGGATCTGCACTCAGAGGGCTCAGAGCTCCTGGCTGACTTCAGTGTTTTTGAGCTCTGACTCTAAGGTGAACTCAGGGCTTAGAGATTTTGCGCTCTCAGTTCTCAGCTCCAGCTGTAGAACGAGCTGTTGGCTCTGGAGTTCCAGATTCTGGCTTCAGGCTCAGATTTTACAAGGCTCCAGGGCAGGCTCAGTGGGTCCTGGCTTCTGGGCACTGGTTGTGGAATGAGACCTTAAGTCCAAACTCTTAACTCCAGGCTCTTGGGGCGGAGTTCAGGGCTGACCCAAGTCTCTCGGGTCAGGGATGAGCCGACAGGTGTTTCTTGCCTCAGTATGGGACCACTTTTTGTGCTCTGCTTCCAGGTCAACTCCTCCGCCTTCTCCCCAGACAGCCAGACGCTGCTCACAGCCTCGGAGGATGGCTATGTGTATGGCTGGGAGACCCGGAGCGGGCGTCTGCTGTGGAGACTGGGTGGCCACACAGGTGGGGTTCGGCAGCCTGCAGAGTCTACCTGGACTCCCAATGGGCCCGGCGTGGGTGCAGGGCTGCCGGACAAGTCTAGGGCAGGAGGACAAGGGCATGGGACCTGGCACCTGGGGGCTGGGGCTTCAATGCTGAAGCACTTAGATTCTATTTTTTTCTTTTAAATTGTGGTAAAACAGAATAGTTATCATTTTAACCATTTTTTTTAGCGTACGGTTAAGTACCTTCACATTATCAAACTCTTGTCATCTTGCAGAACTGAACCTGTCCCCACTAAATAGCTCCCCATTCCCCCTCCTCCTAGCTCTGACAACCCCTGTTCTACTTTTTGTCTCGCTGAATTTGACTTCTCCAAATACCTTATATAGGTGCACTCATTTGCTTTTAGTGACTGGCTTATTTCACTTGGAATAATATCCTCAAGGTTCGTTTTGTACCTACCCCCTCTCCTGGTTTTTTGAGACAGAATCTCAAGCTGTTGCCCTGGGTAGAGTACCATAGCAACATCATAGCTCACAGCAACCTCTAACTCTTAGGCTCAAGCGATCCTCTTGCCTCGTTTTTTTGTATTTAGTATTTTTATATTTTTATTTGTTGTTGTTGTTGCAGTTTGGCTGGGGTCGGGTTCGAACCCACCACCCTTGCTATATGGGGCTGGTGCCCTACTCACTGAGCCACAGGTGCCACCCAGTTTTTTTTTTTTTTTTTTTGAGATGGAGCCTCAAGCTATCCCCCTGGGTAGAGTGCCATGGCATCACGCTCACAGCAACCTCCAACTCCTGGACTCAAGCGAGTCTCCTACCTCAGCCTCCCAAGTAGCTGGGACTACAGGCGCCTGCCACAACACCTGGCCTTTTTTTGTTGTTGTTGTTGTTGTTGTTGCAGCCATCATTGTTGTTTGGCGGTCCCGGGCTGGGGATTCGAACCCGTCACCTTAGGTGTATGTGGCTGGCACCTTAGCTGCTTGAGCCACAGGCGCTGAGCCAGATTTTTGTATTTTTAAGAGACAGGGTCTCACTCTGGCTTAGACTGGTCTTGAACCCGTGAGCTCAAGCAATCCACCTGACTCTGCCTACCAGAGTGCTAGGATTATAGGTGTGAGCCACTACACCCAGTCACCTACCACTTTTTAAATTAAAAAAGTTTTTTAGGGATGGTGTCTTGCTATGTTGCCCAGACTGGCCTTAAATTCCTGGCCTCACGTGATCCTTCTGCCTCATTGGGATTACAGGTGGGAACCACTGTGTCCAGCTCTTATCTTTTTTGACTGTGATCTTAGTCAAGTCCTGCCACCACTCTGAGCCACTTCTGCTAGAGAATGGGGTTAATAGTTGGTACCCTATAGGATGAGTGAGACAATGCAAGTGAGGTGCCTGAGGACCCAGTGTGTATAACTATTATAATCATTATTAAGGGGACAAGAAAAAATATTTGGCAATTATAGGGTAGACTGATTAATGCTATTAATAGGGGTAGTGGGAGGAAGGGGAGCTAGGAGCTCAAAGGAGGCAACAAACCAGGCTGGGTTGTCAGAAGTGCCTGGGAGGTGCCTGCATTTGATCTGAGTATTGACAATTTTCCAGATAGGCAAATTGGAATTGAGTGTTCCAGGCTGAGAGCCCGGCTCTGCCCAAGGCATGGAAAACCAGGCATTTTCATGTGGCTGGAGTTTGAGAGAGGGGAGGTAGGCAATGAGCTTGGAGAAACTAGCAGGAGCAGCCTGCAGGGCCAGGGGTAGAGAGCACTGCCTTATCCCCTGACCATGGCCATCCACCCCAGGCCCTGTGAAGTTCTGCCGCTTCTCCCCTGATGGCCATCTCTTTGCCAGCACCTCCTGTGACCGCACAGTCCGCCTGTGGGATGTAGCAAGAGCCAAGTGTCTGCGGGTCCTGAAGGGTGAGTGGGCCAGGTGGGACTGGAAGCCAATCAGCTAGGCCTGCATTCCTTTTTGGACCTTGCTGAGTCCTGTGTCACTTTTCCTCTTCCCCAACTCTGGGCTGGTCCCTGCAGGTCACCAACGTAGTGTGGAGACAGTCAGCTTTAGCCCTGACTCGAGGCAGCTGGCTTCGGGTGGCTGGGACAAGCATGTGTTGCTCTGGGAGGTGCAGGTATGTGGAGTGGCCAGAACCCAGCCAAACCTGTGATCCGAGGACTCATCCCCTCCCACACTTAAGGGGTCACCCCCACAGTCTTGCTCTCTAGGCTACAACCCTCCACTGGTTCCCCATGCCCACCCCACTAGGCATCTGATGCCCCACAGCTGCAGTGGCCAGCCACCTCAGGTGTTTGCACAAAGATGCCCCCCTCTTCCTGGGCTGTTCTTCCTTGCTTGCCTTCTGTCAAGGTCCACAATACCTACCCAGATGCCCAGCGAGAAGGCCTGGGTCTGACCCCTCTGAGCAGCTGCCCTCTGCTACCTCCCTAAGCTAAAGGCTCCCTCCTCTAGTCTGGCCGGATGCTGCGCCGCTTAGCTGGGCACTGTGACTCTGTCCAGAGCAGCGACTTCTCACCCAGCACAAACTGCTTGGTAAGCCTCACTTCTGCCCTGCCCCCACACTCCTTGGACCTGAGCTGCTAAAAGGGCATGAGCTTTAAGTCCAGCCTAAGCACTGGGAGGGCGGTCACTGCCTGCAGGCTACCGGCTCCTGGGACTCCACCATCCGCCTCTGGGACTTGCGGGCGAGTACTCCAGCAGTCTTCCCTCAGGAACTAAAGGGCCACAGTGGCAACATCAGCTGCCTGTGCTACTCTGCATCTGGCCTCCTGGTAAGCTTGGGTGCCCTGGATTCTGGTCCCTTGCTGGCTGAAAGACCCTTAGAAAGGGTCAGAAGCCATCTGGGGGCCCAGAAAGTTTGCAGGCCCCATATCCAGGGGATCAGAGCTGTCTGCTGTCTAGGCATCTGGCTCCTGGGACAAGACTATCCACATCTGGAAGCCCATGACCAGCGGACCACTTGTCCAACTCACGGGTCACATCACCTGGGTGAAGAGCATAGCCTTCTCCCCTGATGAGAAGCGATTGGCCAGTGCTGGCTATTCCCGCATGGTAAGCCCACCCCTCAGGTTCTCAGCACTGTTATTTCCAGAAATGCCCACATATCCATCCACCCTAACTGTGAGAGGGAAAGGCAGGACCCAGAGCCTCAGGCAAAAGGAAATTTAGGCACTGAAATTTGTCAGACCCCAGGTAGAGAATTTTAAATATACTATAGACAAAAAACCTAACGCAGGATGCCAGCCTGGCCTTATGAGGCCTCCAGCTTTCTTCCTTTTTCTCCGTTTCTAGGTCAGAGTCTGGGACTGCAACACAGGAAAGTGCCTTGAGACCTTGAAGGTATGGCCATGGCGTAGCACCCCTTATACCAGTACAAGCCCCACGTGCCATGCCTGGGAAAGGCAGGAGTTACAATCAGAGCCCCACTCTGTGCTTTTGGCAGGGAGTCATGGATGTGGCCCACGCCTGTACCTTCACCCCAAACGGGAGACTCTTGGTGTCTGGAGCTGCTAGTTAAGGCAGATGTCAAGCATCCTAAATGAACAAATCATCCAGGCCTCTCAAATATACCACCACAGCAGACAGCCCTGACCTCCTGCACTCCTGGCCAGGGGTACACAGGCCCAAAGCTACTGTAACAGTGTCCAACAGGTCCCTGTGGCCACGGCCATCAAGGTCTCAAGCAGTCAACAGCTATGGGCAGGAGGCTTGCTGGAAACCATCAGACACCAAGCAGCCATTATCAGCCCCCACCAGCCTCAGCACCCCCACCCAGTCAATAGAAACACACCAAGTAAGATCAGCCAGTTTTGTGTTTTTATTGACAATGTAAGACTCAGGCTTTGACGGCATACTTCCGCAGTGGGTATAGCCGTTCCTTGCGCTGCTGCTTCTTGGTCTTCAGGTTCTCCTCGTGCTTGTTGAGCCGGCGGCGCATGGCACGGGTCTTCTTAGGCCGCAGATCCAGGGGCTTGTACTTCTTACCCTGTGAGACATGTGGTAAGGGGATTTGAGGAGCTAATAGAGTAGCTAGGGAAGTTTGGAAGGGCAGAGCTAAGGCATAGGAAGCTGATTTGCCTCAAGGATTTACATGACATCCAACTACGCAGAAGGGGGTTGCCGATATGACACTGGCAATGAACAGGCCACACACCTTGCCCACCACCTCATTTAATTCTGCCATACGCAAGGCTGTCCCCGTTTAATGTTAAGTCTCTGGGCTAAGTCAGTGCTCCTTCCACTAAGAATCCCAGACATGGGGTCAAGTCACACCACAATCTAGTAAGAGGCTTATGGCACCCACCAAGTTCTGAGGGTGTTACTGTTACCTTGGCTTTAAGTCACAGAGTGTATATGGGAGTTAAAGCTGTGTTTAATATGCAGGGTCTGCCAGGTGTTGCCTGTGATAATACTGATCCTCAGAGGAAGATCTGGCTTGGCCAAGGTCATCCTGCCATCAAGAAGTAAAGCCCTACCCCTTTCCTGCCTTGGGGCACTTCCCTCACTCCAGCCCAGAGTTGTCACAGATCTACCACTGTCTCTTTGCTCCTCCCCAGCAATGGCTTAAAGACCACAGTAGCTCACTATTTTTTCCTTTGTTCCAGAAAGGTCCCCAGGCTCTCTTCAGGACAAGGACCTGTGCTGGGTGCTGCCTTAGCAAGGAATGAGATTCATTCCCTGCTTAAGGGGCATCCAGCCCAATGGGGAAGACTGAACAGGTAACAAGTGGCCCTTTGGTACAGAGAGAAGAGATTAAGGAAGTTGTCTCTTAAAGAATGGCAAAAGCAGTTCGGCGCCTGTGGCTTAAGCAGCTAAGATGCCAGCCACATACACCTGAGCTGGCGGGTTCGAATCCAGCCTCTGGGCCTGCTAAACAACAATGATGGCTGCAAACAAAAAAATTGCTGGGCGTTGTGGCGGGCGCCTGTAGTCCCAGCTACTTGGGAGGCGGAGGCAGGAGACTTGCTTGAGCCCAGGAGTTGGAGGTTGCTGTGAGCTGT